AAAGCAGGGTTAAAAGGGTTGGCCATTATATGGAAATTCAAAGATGAATTCAGTAGCCTCATGGGATGGTGAGATTTAAGCTAGTCCTTGAGGAGTCAGGAAGAATTTTTTTTTCCTCCAGTACTGAGGATTAAACCTAGGGGTGCTGAACTACTGAGTTACATCCCCAGTCCTTTTTAAAATATTTTATTTAGAGACAGGGTCTGCTGAATTGCTAAGTGCTTTGCTAAATTGCTGAGGCTAGGCTGGCTTTGAACTCATGATCCTCCTGCTTCAGCCTCCCAAGCTGCTGGGATTACAGGCATGTGCCACTGCCACCCAGTTTAGGAGTCAGGAAGATTTGTGCAAGGGAAAGGGAATGGCAACAGGAGGGAAAAAAAGTTAAAAGGTTCAAAGGCAAGAATTATCCTGGTTTGTCTGCAGAAGTCACTGAAGACCTCTCGGGAATGAGGAGCTGGGAACTCAAATTTGGAAACTACCTACATTGTATACACATTGTATATTAACGCACTTAATTCTTATAGTAACCCTATAAGGTTTATACTGTTGCTACTGCACTTAAAAGATAAAGAAATTGAAGCTTAGAGAGACAAATCTTTATATGTCTAGGGTCATATAAGATAAGAGGTAGAATTAGGCTTTAAACCCAGGTCTATATGCATCCAAAACTCCTTTCAGATTTTGAAGAACTCTGAATGACAAAATGAAGGACCAGGCATGACCTGAATTAAATTTGGAAAAGACAGAACAAGTCCTTGTAGTTTAGCTAATACATACATCTACAAACATCAATTTATTTATTAAATGAAGATTTTTTTTTAACGCCACTTAAAATCAATCCTAACCCCAGGAGGGCTACTCTTGATTTAGCATCCTACAGCACTGACATCCCTTCTTTTTTGGCATACATTAGACCCTACCTTTTGGCATATGCACTCCTTAAATGGGCTAGGGGAACTTATTCAATCCAGTTCCGGCCAAAGGATTTCTGAGAAAAGGGTTGTCCTGGGAGAGAGGATGAGGTTCTGAACTAAATGTGAATAGGGAAAATTGGGCTGCTGCCACCACTCAAACTTATGCATACTCAATGCTTCCTGCCTCTTGGGATGAAAGGCTTTGTTTCTGTTACCTCCTGTGTGTACAGTACATTACAGTTTACAGAGCATATTCATTATCATGCTTAGGATTCTCCATGCATCCTCCTGAGGCTGGGAGGTCAAATATTATCACTCCTGTTGTAGAGATGAAGAAACTGAGGCTCCAGGAAGGGAAGTCACTTATTTGCTCAAGGTCACATAGTTAGCTAGTTATGGGTAACTTAGAGACTATGTGATTCATTGAGGAAAACAGTCTTTTAGAGTACAAAACTGGGCTTGTGTCCTGGCTCCCATACTAACTGTGTGACATTGGGTTACTATAACTGCTCTGAGTTTGTTTCCTCTGTCAGTAGAACCAAGTGACATTGTACTGTATAAAGCCCATGTTAGGGCTTTTTATGAAGGGTCAAGATCAGCAGATGAACTGAGGAGGTCAGATTTAGGTATCTGGTGCTTTTGGCCTTATACCACACCTTGTTTTGGATACTACCTCATTCATAATCCATTTCCGGTGTCAGTCCTTTCCTCACTGGCCCGGAAGCTACCCTCTCCCTCCCTGCTCCTTTGAGGGCTGATTTACTGATTGTTGGTTGATAACTACATCCCTAGAGAGCCATTTGTACTTTCAGTCTCTTGGGGCTTATAACTGCTGGCCAGAATTCCCTCCTTGCTTTCCTGCCTGGGCCACCCCATTGCTGGGCTTGTGGGAGAGAGTTCTCAAAGGCCACACCCACTCCTCTACTCTATGTGGAACTGGAAGATTACAGGCCCAGGAGTTCTGCTATAAAACGCCAGGGCCTCCAGATAATCCAGTGGGCACAAGTAGTAGCACCTACTCCTACTGCCTTTTGTCACAAGCATTTTCGGCTGTTTCCAGGAAAGGGAAACTGAGGCCCAGAAAGGGTAAATGTCTCATGTTTGGTTGCAGTGAGTCAGGAGACCTAGGGCTAGAATTTAAGTCTCTGGACTTCCACTCTGAGATTCTCTCCACTGCCCTAGAGGGCCCTTGGTTCTTTTCTTGACCCATTTTCTGAGGATTTCTACCTAGGTGTCCTGAGGCTGAGCAACATACATATTCTGATGCAAATAAGGTGGAAATGCTGTCAGTGTTAACCAGAGAGGCAGCCTTATAAAAGTCAAACCATTTCTTTCCCAACTGGTCCCAGGGGAAACTGGCCTAAAAGAGAACTGGGACTAAGTCCTTTGTCCTTTTTCCAACCCCCATACCACCAAAGTTCCTTTTCTACTTCGCAGTAGACAGACAGACAGACACACACACACTGTCTGATTTTTGAGACTTTTGAACTGAGAGATCAAATGTTGGGATCCATATTTAGTAAACTCTGTAGTAGATCACTACAGTACTAGTGTATTGTACCCTCCTTTGTTTGTGTTGCCTTGGGAAAAATAAAAAATAGCTGATATTTATTGACCAGGTACTATTCTAAATGCTTTATGATTTCTAAAATAGGCAAATGTGATGGCACCATACTTGCAATCCCAGTGACTGGGAGGCTGAGGCAGGGATATCACAAGTTCAAGGTCAGCTTCAACAACTTATCGAGACCCTGTTTCAAAATAAAAAGGACTGGGGATGTGGCTTAGTGGTAGAGTGGCCCTGGGTTCAATTCCCAGTACTGGGAGGAGAATACACACACTCACATACACAAACATATATATAAAACTCACATTAACCAATGACGTTGTTATTTTATCCCCACTTTATGGATAAGAAAAAGAGGCATAGAGGGGCTAAGTGGTTTGTCCAGGGTCACAGCTAGAAAAGAGCAGAACCAGGATTTGACCTTAAATTATCCTAATACCAGGGCTGATGTGTTTCCCACCACATTACGTTGCTTTTTTGTAACATGTTGCTGGATATTGCTCATTTGTATCTCTCTCTCTCTCTAATTGGGGATAATGTCAGGTTGAGGAAGTAGGAGCTGCTTTCTTTGTGTAGGAGCACGGGGAACACTGGTTGGCTTATTGGGTCCACCTTGGCCTGGGTAAGCACATGAGAATACCTGGTGTTCCCAAACAGAGTTGGGCAGGGCCCAAATCACATTTCTTGTGTTTTATTTAAAGACAGGGTCTCACTAAGTTGCTTAGGGAGGTTGGCTTTGAACTTGTGATCTTCCTGTCTCAGCCTCCTGGGCACTGGGATTAAAGGAGTGTGCCACCATGCCGAGTCCTATGGTCTTCTTTAAGGGTCACAAGGGAGTCCTTTGTCTGAGGACAGATAAGGTGCCAAAGCAAAACTGGTGCAAGGGGGCAGGTGCAGCCACCAAGCAGAATGCCATTCTTCTTCCCACAGGTAGAAGCCTTCTTAACCAAGTGTCCCTCTCATTTCTCCATAGGTCACTGCATCCAGAGGGGCCCAGAAGAGGCAGGAGGCACTGCCTCCACTACTATAGCTTTATCCACAATGCAGAGCATCAAGTGTGTGGTGGTGGGCGATGGGGCTGTGGGCAAGACGTGCCTGCTCATCTGCTATACAACTAATGCCTTCCCCAAGGAGTACATCCCCACAGTGTTCGACAATTACAGTGCCCAGAGTGCAGTTGATGGGCGCACAGTGAACCTGAACCTGTGGGACACTGCGGGCCAAGAGGAATACGACCGCCTCCGCACACTCTCCTACCCTCAGACCAACGTCTTTGTCATCTGTTTCTCCATTGCCAGTCCACCCTCCTACGAGAACGTGAGGCACAAGTGGCATCCAGAGGTGTGCCACCACTGCCCTGATGTGCCCATCCTCCTGGTGGGCACCAAGAAGGACCTGAGATCTCAGCCTGATACCCTACGGCGCCTCAAGGAGCAGGGCCAAGCGCCCATCACACCTCAGCAAGGCCAGGCACTGGCCAAGCAGATCCATGCTGTGCGCTACCTCGAGTGCTCTGCCCTGCAGCAGGACGGCGTCAAGGAAGTGTTTGCTGAGGCTGTCCGGGCTGTGCTGAACCCCACGCCAATCAAGCGTGGGCGGTCCTGCATCCTCTTATGACCTTGGCCCTCAGCTTGGAGGCTGCCCCTAACCCCCCACCAGTTGTGCCTTGGCGCCTTGTCTGCCCCCAGCTGTGCCTTAAGGACTAATTCTGGCACCCCTTGCCAGGGGGCTCCCTGAATACCTTTTTTTCCTTAAGGAGGCCCATGGGAAATGGACTTTGGGTCCTATCCTACTCTGCTTGAGAACATCAGGTATTCTTATGAGCTCACCTGGGCCAAGGTTGATCCTCCCCAAGAGGCCAACCCAGTGTCTCCACCTCTCACATTTTCTGCTACTGACCAGTCATCCAGCTTTCCACAAAGTTGTTGCCTATTGTGGTGCCTCCTCTCAGGTTAGGGGCTGTCAGCCATCTCTAACCTCTGCCCTTGCTGCTCTTGGAATTGACCCCCAAGATGTCTTCTCCCTCCCCCAAGGAAGGAGCCACAGAATCCTGAGAAGATAAATGTGTCCTAACCTGCCCCCATGTGCCCAGGCCTTACGCATTTGCTGACTGACTCAGCCCCCCATGCTCCTGGGGGCCTTTCCTACCCCCAACAGCATCAATAAAACCTCCTGTCTCCAGTGGCCCTGGCTCCTCCCTGTGTGCTGGGCATTAGGGGGTGGGCATGGACTAGGGCTCCCCAGAGACTGGGAGGCTTTTGTTTCCTTTAAGAGGGGACAGGAGACAATAGGCTTCATTGTGGTCCCCCACCCCGCCCCCCAATTTCCCTAACAAAGCTCTGGGGCCCATCCACAGATGCTGGGAGCCTCCATCTATAAACCTCCATTTTGGAGCCTTAGGAGACTCTAGGCCCAAAAACATTCTGCCATAGACTTATTCCCTCCATCCTGGAACCCATCTTGTACTCAGTTACTATCAAACAAAGAATGAACCTCAAGAATAGAAAGGTTAGCCCAGGTTATTGGCAAAAGAAAAAAAAATTTATTTTCATTTGAAATAAAATGTACAACCAGAAGAGCTCAGGGTCTGGGGTAATAGGGAGTTATACACCAGGGAGCCCATGTTGTGGTAGGGAACTGTGCCTCTTGATCCCTCTACCCCATATCTTTGCAAGGAGGAAGGGTACATAGGCTAGTGATTTCAGAAGGGAAGAGAAACACATGCTGTGCTGGTGCTTTTTCTGGAACAGGTCATCCTTCAGGTATAGACCACTTCCATCAGATGATGTCAGAACCACACTGGCAGAGCCATTGGAGATCACACACTGCCACCTCCTCATATCATACACATGGACACACTGAGGCTCAGATAGGTAAGGATACACACCTTAGGGCCCACACCAGACTAAAGAAGTGAAGTCAGGACTAAAACACTTGGACAAACCCAGCAGGGGACTACAGCCACAGGCCTAAATGTGCATGGAAGATTATCAGATACTAGTCAAGTGAATGACCTGGAGAGAAATGGCTATGGTTTTGAAGCTGCAGCCACTGCTCAGCAGTCCCTAACCTCAGTGAGAGGTGGCTAGGTAAAAACCAAAAATTGGATGGTGGTCATAAACCTCAGAACTTTTTTTAGCACCAAGTGGTAGAGCTCTCCTTCCAGCTCAGCTTCTTGGGGCCTGTCAGTTTAGATTGACGTTACTTGAAGGCCCCTGTGGCTGTGTGAGGGTTGAGGAGGAGAAGCCTGCGATGCTTGGGTCAGCCTTGTCCTATGCCCTTCTGCCCTTCTTCCCTCTCCCCCATTTCAGAAGGACCCAGGAGGACACAGGTATGGGGAAGGCAAGAGTGGTTTCTTGTTTCTAGGCAGTGGGCTACTTTCTCCCAGCAGCAGAGGTGTTAGAATCGCTTTTCCTCCGGTTGAGAGGTTATGAGCAGCTCTTTGTTCCCGAAGTCCCACCAGGCTGTCATGTGGAACGCCATGTTGGTTAGAACGACAGTGTACTCCAGGATGGCAAAGATGGTGTATACTGTTGTAAGGACACAAGAAATAGGGCCTGGTGAACCTCCTGGTGAACCAACCCACTACAGAGAAATAATAGTAGTCAGCCAATACCCAAGACTATTGCCCACTCTCAAAAACATCACAACTGCCCCCAAAGTTTCTTATGACCGTCTATGGATCCTAGCCTGGCCTCACCTCCAGCCTCACAATACATGTTGTGTCGAAAGTAGACAGCCAGTGCCGAGAAGAAGGAGACGAAGTTGATGATGAAGAGCCGCTGTTTCCAGCTGTAGGACTTGCGATCCTAGGGGGTGGGCTGTCTGATCACTCTGCAGCTTATTGGGTATATGTGGGTAGCTTCCCCTCTTAGCCCCAGCTCCTAAGGGCTGGGCCTTCCCTCCCTTGGTTCCCATAGTGGTCATAGAAGGGGGCAGAGGCATGGGCAGCAGGAATGACAAGTATGTTCACATCCCTGATGAGCCCAAGGAGCGGTAGTATGCCCTGCCCCTTCCATTTCAGAGGGATGGAGTATAAAAGTTACAAGGAGTCACCCACCAACCCAACACTCCTCAGGTACTTTGTGTGGCAAAGAATGGCATGTGTATGGGTGGGTGGAATCTAGACTGCAGTACCCTGACACTGTCCCTAAGCCACTAGAGCCTGTCTGCTACTTACTCATTTTACCCCCATTTGGAGTCTCCATTTCTTCTATTCTAATCTCCTTTACTACCCAAACATAATCCTAGATTCTGACAAATAAGCCACTCTTAACTTGTTTCCATGCCTCAGCCCCAAACCCAGTACCCCTCTGTCAGGGTTTCTAGAACTCCAGTTCCCACCCCATCATTACCAGCATCCTGAGGACAGATGTTCTTGATTTTCTTCCGGGCCCCAATAGGGTAGACCGTACCTCCTGACTTACTGTGTGCTTCTTGGTCAGCCGCCAGAGAATGCAGGTGAGGAGCATGTGACCGAGGGAAGCAGCGATGAACACAATGAAAGCATTTTCATGGACGGCTGGAGGGAGAGAGGAGGATGGGGAGCACACACAGCCAGCAGCGCCCTCACCCTTCCACAGGAAGGTTTGTATGTGAGAAGGGGTGGGCTCTGTCTCTTTCCCAAACCCTCTTCCACCCCTCCACCGTGGGAGCACCCACTGAAGTCCTCAGAGGAGGAGACATAGGTGAGCACTAGTAGTGCGAGGTTCTCCACGACGTTGAGGCCAAAGTTGAGGCGGCAGAGCAGGCGGTAGCCAGGACACGGGGAGGCACAGCTGAGGTAGTGGTTCCAGTAGGCGAAGGCCGCCAAGAAGCGGGGTGCTGAGTGTAGGCCAATGCAGAAGCGCCACACATAGCGCTGGGGCACCTCTCCGCCGATGGCTGAGCTCACCGAGGGTAGATAATTGGGCACCTAGAAAGTTGTGACTGGTCCGGGCATGTCCTTCACCGGTCCTGCCCACCCAATCAATCACAGTCACGGGCTCTGCTCCAGCCCCTTCCCTTCCAGGAAGTCTTCTTTTAAGTGCTCCCAGAGCTCTCCCAAGAGACCTTCCCTTCCAGGTCATGGGCCCAGGGTGCTGGGTTTTCATTCCCCAGCCAGACTGAGATTTGTGCAAGGGCAGGGCAGGCATATTCTATCTCCCCACAAACTGGAACCTGCACATTTGGACAGGTATGTAGATGGGTTCAAATGCTCCTATTCCCATAGCTTAGAGCTATGTCTCAGAAAAGACCCCAGGGGAGTCCCAGGAATCCAGGACTCTAGAATTAGTCCTGAGGACAGAGATGTCACAGACACTCTGACCTTCCTTAGAACAGTGCTACCTAGCTGAGCTGTTCCTCTCACTGCTTCCAGTTCCACTCATTCTTCAGGGTAAATGTGCCCAGGTGGTAGAGGGTGCTGCGAGATCCTGAGGGAGCTAGGCGAGAAGGGTACCCCTATACTGATCATCTTTAAGAAAGTGGATGCTTCTAACCTGATATAGTCTGAGAAAATGACCCTGTTCTTGTGCATCTTCCTATCCATCTTTCTCAATACCTGGAACTCCTTCCTTAAGGAAATGCAACTTCATTGTAGGCTGAGAAAAGGGGAGGCTTCAAGGACTGGTATTGCTTGTATGAGCAGTGAAACAGTATGGGACAAGTGAACAGTACTTGAGATGGAAACAGGAATGGGAGGAGGATCTCTTAATACTTTCTGGCCTATAGCAATGCTTTGCAAACATAGTAAGTACAACTCACTGGGAAGATATGTGAAAATGCAGGTTTTTGAAACCTGAGCACCTGCATTTTTAAACGTTTCCAAGACTGGAAGACAGTTCATTGCCCACACTTTTCATGGCACTTTTGTTGTTGTTGTTTGGTTTGGTACCAGGGATTGAACCCAGGGGTATTTAACCACTGAGCCACATCCCCAGCCATTTTAAAATTATTTATTTATTTATTTTGTGAGGGGGTGTCACTAAGTAGCTGAGGCTGGCCTCGAACTTGCAATCCTGCCTTGGCCTCCCAAATTGTTGGGATTACAGGCATGCACTACCACACCCAGCTTCCATGACATTTTTAGACTCTCAACAAGAGCCAGGACAGTGTCAGAAATCCAGTGACCCAGCAAGGGAATGATCCTCTTGAAGGAACAAGTCTTCAGAGATGGAGCTCTGAAAAACTATTCCTTTCCTCTAGTGGAATGGATCTACAGACTATTGGGAAGGTAGGCAAAATTAGAGACAGCTCACAGGGGAGGGGTGGGCCTGAGGAAGGGTTCAAGTCAGGGACTTCACGGCCTCCACAAAAAATGTGTGGAGGAAGCTAAGTATAGCACTGTCAAGTTCAGCTCTGTCACAGGAAGCTTAGTACAGAGTTCTCCAAGAGGAGACACTGCTCTCAAGGCCATGGCTTAAGTAATCAGTGCAGAGGCAGCAGGAGGCTTTGGAACTTCATAAAGATGGGTCTGTATCCAAGCTTATCTGGGGGACCTTGAGCAAGGCACTTCACCTCTCTGAGTTCCAATTTCTTCATTGGTAACCTGGGTATAACACCACTAACCTGCAGAGTGATTATGAATTCTAAATGTAAGGTATGCAAAGCATCTGCAGTGTCTGGCACATAGTGGGTACAATAAATGACAGATTTCAGAAGATAGACTTCTCTGAAATGCCTGCAGGCTTTTCACTGAAAAGACTGGCCACTGTGAGTCAAGTGGCCAGTCAGCATAGGAAGGCCTGTTTATGGGTTGAGAGGCAGGACACCAGATACAGTGAGACCTCCAAGTCTCATTACTTTTTTTTGTGTGTGTGTATGTGTGTGTGAGTGGTGCTGGGGATTGAACCCAAGGCCTTGTACATGTGGAACAAGCACTCAACTAACTGAACTATATCCCCAGGCCTTCCTGACTTGATTTTTGAGCCTCTCCATTACCCTCAGTTCGGTTAATGAGTGTTGCCTCTTCTTCCTGGAATATTTATTCTGAAGACTGCTCCCTAATCTCAGCTACTTTAAGAGGAATAGGACCAGTACCTAAGCCTGACTGGAAGAGCTCAAAGCACTCAAAAGTGATGAGTCCTTTCTGATGCTGGGAACAAGTACTGGGTAGAGATGATGGAGAATTGGGGGGAGACCTTGGGGAGAAATGAAAAATTAGAGCCTTGTGACTGCATTCTGTTTTCACAAAATCCTCTCAGATTAGGATGAGATCCTAAGAGCAGGGATTGTCTCTTCCATATAGGCACTCACACACAGGTGCACATGCATGCATACACACATATGCACAAACAAAATCAAGTATGTATATATATATACCCCACCTCCACCCCCATTCCCAGCACATAAGTTGCCCACTCACCAACTGTGCCAGCAATAAGCAACAGCAAGATCTATCAGAGACCAGATACACAGCTCACTCCAAAACTCTCCATGAGCCCAGAGCTAAAAGTACTGAGAAATGAGTAGAAAACTCCTTTCTTTCTTTCTTTTTCTTTTCTTTTTTCTTTTTTGGCAGTACTGGAGATTGAACCCAGGGCCTTGTGCATGGAAGGTAAGCATTCTACCAACTGAGCTATATTCCTAGCCCCTGATAGAAAACCCCTTTACAACAGGACAGGAGATCAGAAACTCACAAAGTGGGGTTTCTAAGAATTCCCCAGGTTTTTACCATTAGAGATCCATTTCTTTGGTCCCAGATTAAAAGTCCTCCCCAAATTATAAATGACTTTTTCTACCTGCCTTGCTGCCTCCTCATCCCTTGCCAACTAAACAAAAATTTTAATTCCTGTCAATCCTATTTCCTTTTCCTCTCTGGACTCCATCCTCTCTCCTTTCTATCCTCATGGTCTCCATCTTAGCTCTGGTCTCCAATAGTATGAGTCATTACACTAGCATCCCTATTCTTGTATCTACCCTTAAATCTGTTCTCCACTCAGGAGCTGAGATGATCTTCTAAAGGACAAATCTAATCATATCCCTTTTCCTGCTTAAAATCTTTCCAAAGCTCCCCATTGCCCTCTGGATAAAATCCAAGGCTGTCAGCCTGGCATTCACAAAGATCCTTCTTCACATCCCCCTATCTCCCACAAACAATGCCCCCTCCTATCTCCCACAAACAATGCCCCCTCCTATAGGTGCTTCCTCTGATCCCTGAAAACCTTCATTCCCTTTTATTGCAAGAATCCCAACTCACTATATTTCAACTCTGCCCAAGGACTTTCTCTTGCAGGAATGAGATGCTGAGAGCAAGTCCATTTTCAGCTCCATGTCCCTGACATAGAACTTCTACCCCTGGTCCCTCAGGAAAGATCTGGTGAACTGATCTGGAAAGCAAGAAGTCCATCCAGATTTCCAGCTAGCAGAGCCCTGAGTGTACCCCACAGGCTGTGGGGCTAGGGCTGCTGGTGGAGAAACAAAGCTTGAGGATCCTAGAGTAGGGCTAAGCCACCTGTTACTTTTGGCTCTGGGCCTCACTGCACCTTCTCATTACTGGCTTCCTTTGTAGTCTGGTCTTTTTTCAGCTACCTCTCCCTCTTGTGATCTCTCCTGGCCAATCCTCCAACCCCTTCATTTCTCTCCTACATCAACCTCCCCGACCCCAACTCCATTTGAACATTCTTTCTTTCTTTCTTTCCTTTTTGTTTGTACTGGGGATTGAACTTGAACTCAGGGGCACTTAACCACATCCCCAGCCCTTTTTTTTTTTAAGTTAGAGACAGAATCTAGCTAAATTGCTTAGGACCTTGCTAAGTTGCTAAGGCAGGCTTTGAACTTGTGATCCTCCTGTCTTAGCCTCCTGAACCACTGGGATTATAGGTATGCGCCACCACGTCCAGCTCCTTTGGACTTTGTATAATCCTCTTCCAATTCCAATTCCAATTCCAATTGTGACTCTATAGACACTATGAGTCTCTACTGACAAATTCTCTATCTCTCTCTGACCCTCTAGTTCTCTCCTACTCTCCAATCCTGCCTCACCACCATCTCTTACCCTGGCCCTGACCCAGGTGCTAAGGAGCCTGGCACTCACCCCACAGTCAGTGGCCACTGTGTACTCAAAGTGGAACACCAGGGACCAGATGATGCAGAAGAAGAAGCCAAACGCAGGGAAAGTGATGACCCACCAGACCATGGCTGTGAAGCGGAGCCGGAACACAGTCCCATCGGGGTCCAAGGGCTGGGAGGCCGCAGAGAACATCCTGTAGGAAGTGGCCCAAGAAGGGCAAGGGATACAACTTGGGGCCTGGTGAAATATCTGGGCTTGGGAAAGTGGGGCCTTTTCCAGAGCTGGTTCCTCAGAGTATAGGGAAGAGCTAGAGCAGAAATGGTAGAAAGGACACAAGGGGGGAAAGGAAGACTGCCAAGGAACAAGTGGGAGATGGGATAGGAGCAACTCTTGGGAATCCGCTGGTACACTGAGAATCTAGGTTCACCTCTTGAAGAACCTGGGCAATAGAAACTTCCAGGGGACAGGTCCTGGGAGTTCTGATGACTCACCTCACTCTCACAATCCTCACAGTCACTAAGGAGAAGGATCAGAAGTAGAAAGGTTATTATTCCCATCCCACAGAAGGGACACAAGTCCAGAACTATACAGGATCAAACACTAGGACTAAGATCTCTTGCCACTGGACAGCTTAAGGCTCTACATCAAGACTTCGTTCAAGCCAAGTAACCTGGACAAAAGACCCTTGGCTTGAACTGGTAAAGCTCTCCCACTCACCCTGTCTGACCACATTCCTCCTCCTCACCCAAGTTCAACTAGGAACAATGGGAGTGTCCTAGAACCTATTTCAGTGGGGCCATAGGCTACCAGACCTCCCACCCCCAGGCTCTGAATGAGCCAAGCCTCAGGCCATCAGCATGCTGAACTCAGAATATCAAGGTTCTTGTGAAGGTTCAAACTCCCATCTCCCCATCTAAGGAGACCACGTCACCCAACCCAAAGATGGGGGAATCTGAGGGTCATAGAAACTTTCTCCACTCAGCATCAGCCTGCTGTGCTGAGCCAGACCCAGGAAGATTCTGTCCAGGTCAGACAAAAACCCAGAGAGCTGGGCTTTCCCTCTCCCTATCCCTCCCTGCACCTGCTAATGCCCCACCACCATGACCCCTCAAGCTGGCTCCCTTCTGAGGCAGACAGAGATGGCTTTGTAAAAAGCCTAAGATCAGATCTACCCTGGGGACTTATACTCCCTTCATTAAAGAGACCCCAGTCTTCTAGTCCAGCTACTCATCAGGGATGGGGTAGGGGTGGGGGCTCACTAAGCAACACTCACACTGGGTGCTGAAGAATCCGGAGCTTGAGTTGAGGGCTCTAGCCAGACTGAGACTGCTCTAAGACAGGAGGGTCCCACCCCTAGCTCCTCAGAGCCTGCCCTCCCGCCCACAGAGCCCAGTTCTCCATGCCTGCCCAGGCACACAGCCTTCCCAGGATCAACAAGGCCACATCATAAATCCTGGAACACTCTGCAACGGTTAAGAAGTGATAGTGGCTGAGGTCAGTCCACTGCAGCTTCTTTGCTGGGGTGGGGGTGGGGACCTCTCTGAGGGCTGTAACCAGGGATGCATGCAGGTTTCTAGAAAAGAGAAAAAACAGAATGGAATCTGGCCCTTTTTGACTAGAGCAAAACCAAGTATGTATGTTATGCCCCATTAGAGAACTGGCTAATCTGGGCTGGGGATGTGGCTCAAGCGGTAGCGCGCTCGCCTGGCATGCGTGCAACCAGGGTTCGATCCCCAGCACCACATACCAACAAAGATGTTGTATCTGCTGAGAACTAAAAAATAAATGTTAAAAATTCTCTCTCTCTCTCTTTAAAAAAAAAAAAAAGAGAACTGGCTAATCTGTGATAATAATAATAGAATCACAGGATTCAAAAGAATCTAGACAGATCTGAATACGAGACATCAGTGTCCTGCCTGTACCTATGGGGAAACAGCTAATGGCAACTCAGGCTGCATCAACAGATATCTAACAGCCAGTAATAGGAATGAATAGTCTTACTTTCACCTATACTACCCAGGCTACCTGAAGTCCCATGCCCAGATCAAGGCCCAACACAGAGAAAATAGTTACCAGGGCAAATCCAAGGATATGTTCAGGGTAGGGAGAAGCCTAGAGGCCACATCCTGTGTGTGTTGCCTGAAGAAACTATAGTTATGCTATCTAAAAAGACCTCCTAAGGAGCCAGGATTATAGCACACTCCAATAATTCCAGTGACTCAGGAGGGTGAGGCAGAAGTTCAAAGCTAGTCTTAGCAACTTTGTGAGACCCTGTCTCAAATTTTTAAAAAATTTAAAAAAGGGCTGGGGATGTAGCTCAGTGACAGAGTGCCTCTGAGTTCAATTACCAGCACCTAGCACCACACATACATGACACAGCCCCACTGTTGTCTTCTCCATCTCTGCAGGTTGACTTAAAGCCAAAATAAGAGAGTAGTTCCATGGCTATCAAAGCAGAGCCAGGGTCAGGGCAGAGACTTACAGAAAGGAAAAAAGAAAAAAAAAATCCTATGCTCACTATAAGAAAGAGATTGTTGCCAGGTGCAGTGGCACATACTTGTAATCCCAGCAGCTAGGGAGGCTGAGGCAGGAGAATCACTAGTTCAAAGCCAGCCTCAGTAACTTAGTGATACACTAAGCAATTCAGTGAGACCCTGTCTCTAATAAAATATAAAAAAGGGCTGGGGATGTGGCTCAGTGGTCAAGTGCCCTTGGGTTCAATCCCTGGTACCAAAAAAGAGAGAGAGAGAGAGAGAGAGAGAGGAGAGAGAGAGATTGTTACCTTCTAAGCCGCCTTAGAAAAGGTTACCTGAAAATGAAGGAAGCCCCATCACAGGGCATGTGCAAGCAGAGGAAAAGTTGTTAATTATAGATATGTTGTGCTAGGTTGCTTTCTTCACTTCTTGGTTTGGCCACTCCTGGGATATTCTACTTTTGGGGGTGGGGGAGGTATTGAGGAATTGAACCCAAGGGAGTTTTAACAATGAGCTACATTCCCAGCCATTTTCATTTCTTTATTTTATTTTTCTTATTTTTATTTATTTATTTTTGGAACTGGGGATTTAACTCAGGGGCACTTGATCACTGAGCCACATTCCCCAGGCCCATTTTGTATTTTATTTAGAGACAAGGACTCATTGATTTGCTTAGAACCTTGCTTTTGCTGAGGCTGGCTTTGAACTGGTGATCCTCCTAACTCAGCCTCCTGAGCTGCTGGAATTACAGGCATGCGCCACCATGCTTGGCTCCTGGAATATTCTAGATGGGAAATCCAAAGCATATATGAAAAGTGGGATCCAACAGGCCTACTACTGCTCCAGATGACCAGGTAACCTTCAGCAACTACTTATGCCTTAATTTCCCAACAGGTATGCCAAGAGTAGGTAATAGTATACAAAGTATGCTGAGGTTATCTATCCTATTAGCACTCAGGGCCAGGCACAAGTATCAGTGCAAACAGCCTACTCAGTTTAATGCTATATGCTGTATAAATATTATATATTTTTTTCAGACTATGACTGCTTTATACCATGTCTTCCTTTTCCTGTGGCATTAGGTTGGGGAGAGGTCCTATCCATTTATTCAACAAATACATTCTGACTCAGATGCATTATCTACCCTCATGGAGATCCTGGTCTGGTGTGGAAGATAGACACAAATATATAATATATGAAAGATAACACAGGAAACTGTAAGCACCCAGAGAAGGGAGTGATAAGTTTGTCCCAAAGGGAAGGCTTTCTGGAGGAGAAGACATCTTGGTAGAGTTCTGCTGGATGAACTAGAGTTGGCCAGAGTAATGGGAACACTGATGCATTATCTGAAACAAGCACTAAGTCAGAAAAGAGTAATCCTCTCCCTCAGATCACCTGGTCACTCACTTTCCTTCCAGTCCTATTCCTTCTGAGAGCTCCTAGCATCAGGTCTCATCAGACTAAGTGCCTATACTCAAAGACTCATGTCTATCCACTGACAAATCTGAGAGAAAACTTCATGTCATATGAACAAAAGAAGTGGGTTCCATCCCAAACTCCTAACCAGACCTCTCTGCTACTTCTTCCTCTTTCTCTGAAGCAGATGCTCTTTATAGGTCTACAACTTCCTATAAAGGAAGTTAGCTGGGGGCCTTCAAAACTCTCTCAGAAGCTAGCCCAAGAGTCCATGTTCAGGCTCTGGTTCTTCATCTAGAGTCCCAAGGCTAACTTCATCTCCTGCCTACCTTCCTCTCTAACAATCTCTTCTTCCTCATTCTCCTGACCCTCACCCTTCACATTCCCCAAACTGCTTTCTCATCTTTGCAATATCTAGAGCACTACACTAGCCCTGGAAAGGAGTAGGACAGGAATCATCAACCTCACTATTTAATTTTTTAGTACTAGAGATTGAACCTGGGGGCGCTTTACCACCAAGCTACATCCCCAGTCCTTTTTATTTTGAGACAGGGTCTCACCAAGTTGCTGAGGCTGGCCTTAAACTTTCAAGCCTCCCGCCTCATTCTCTCAAGTCATTGGGATTACTTTTATGGGCCACTGTACCTGGCTCAACCTCACTTTAGACATGGGTGACTAAAGCTCTGGGTCTCAGTGGATGAATTAAGAACATAGCAGAGGTTAATACAAGTCTCACCCTATTTACTCTGATATCCTACAGAGAAAGAACTCTCCTATCTTCATGGCCCAGACACCCCATATTCCCATCCAGAGGGTAGATGACAATTGGTGGAGCCTCAGTGCTCATGAGACTCACCCCAGAACATATAATACATGCACATAATTGGGTTCCCATATAGACAGGCACTGATAAGAGTTTCTTTTACATATATACCCAACTCAAAGCCATTATATATAATTATATTACACACACACACACACACACACACACACATACATATACAGAATCACATTCTCAAAAAGACAGGCACAAGCCCACAGTGCCACTATGAGACCCAAAATGCTTTCTAGCCCAATCCTGTTCTGTTTACATTCCAGAAAGTACTGGGGCTCCTGAATGTGTCTTCTTTGAAGTAATGATTGAGTTGTGGGGTTGGGGGCTGCACAATTTCAGTGGCCCCAGTCCCTAGAACTTTCATGGAAGGTGGAGGGAGTCTAATCCTTGAGACCTCAATTTTCAGGTAACCCCCCCACGAGAAGTCCATTATATCTGATGGAACCTACTGGAAAGCTGGTTAATCTTGTCAAAATAAAATCAGGATCCAAATAGATCAAGATGGGCCTGAATATGAGGTATGAGTGCCCCCGAAGCCCTACCCCACAGTGTGTGGCCGTTGTCTCCTTGAAGTGGAAGAGCAGGGACCAGAGGATGCAGAAGAGGAAGGCGATAAATGGACAGCAGACCGTAACCAGGACCACCAGGGTGAAGCGGAGCCGAACCAGGATCCCATCCCGATCCAGTGGCAGTGGGACCTGGTACATCTTGTCAGACCTGGGGATGGAGTGGTGTGCTGTCAGGGCCCCATACAGCAGGCTGGGACTCAGTGAAGTCAGCCCTTGTGTTCAGGTGGGGAGTCTGAGAATAATGTTTCCTAAATTTGGACAGCTTCCGCCACGGATAAGGAAGACTGACTCAGAATCCCAAGACAACACTCCAACTCAATTTCAGAGGGAAGACAATGAACACAATCTAGAGTAGAATGAAGCCTGAACAGATTGGGAGACCTTCTCCTCACTCCTCTGCCTGGCTTCTAGGACTACAGAAGCTAGTTTATCTAGTCTCTTGTTTCTACAACCAACCAGTGGACAGAATAGCCCATCTCCTCCCCCAAGCCTTTGAGCCTAAGGCCAAGTCTCCAGGCTTCACTCACTGGCTCAGAGCCCTCCTGCTCCCTCAGTCCCTTCTGTGTGCAGGCAAAGCAGTTCACAGCATTAGGGCCTCCATGGAAGCTGAGAGAACCTCAAACTCCTGTTTGTCCCTGCCTATTGCCTCACGTGCTCTGAGGGTGAAAGGCTTTGCAGAATCAGGCCTGGCATTAGTCTAGGCTTGCTGTTTGCAGGAAAGAGTTGCTTGGTCAGCTTCTGGAGGCTTCTCAGTCCACCCTCTCCCTGAGACTACAGGAGAGCTCTAGAGGACTTGATTTTTCCCTCAAACAAGGGTATCTAAGGTCAAGAACCATAATAGCTAAAAAGAACACCAACAACACCATCAGTTAATAGCAGGGAAAATTAAGGCAGGTATCTACTCAAGGTCGTGTAGAAAGTAGATGGAGAGCCAGCAGTAGGGAGGTGCAGAGCCCTTGAAAAGTTTACACATGGCAACTCTGGCTCTTCTTTACCCCTTCCTCTCTGGGTCAGAGCTCTGGGCAGAAAATTCAGATTAAGACTGGAATGAGGGCGGGAAAAGAAGGAAGAAATTAAAAAAACAAATCCTACAGAGTTTAGCCAATCAGCCCAGTTCCCACTGTAGTGATAGAGAAATTAAGATGCAGAGGGAGAAAGGCCCTTCTTCAAAGCTGGGCCTGAGCAAAATTATCTCTGGAATTTAGGCTTCTTGATGCCAAATTAGGGCTGGTTCCAGATACATTAAAAAAAAAAAAAAAAAAACCTGCCCTTCTGGTCTCAAAGGCCTTGCCAAATCAAGTCCTAACTCCCTGGCCCCACCCACAGAAAGAACTTTGACTTGTTTAGGTTGGCATCCTGGCATTCCAGAACAATCCAGGTGGATAAGCTTCTGCATTCTCATCTACCTTCCCTTTATGCCAGGCTCAATCAGGCTGCCTGTCCCAATTTCTCAAGTTTCTTTTTCCCTTGGGTGGTAGGGAGGTGGTCAGGGATCTCCCCAAGGAGTTTAAAGTGGCTCAGGTACCTTCCCAAATCCAACACATTCCCTGGATCATCTCTATACGCCCTGGAAGTCCCTCAGGGCCCTAGTTGGAAAGCACCCCACCCAGTCCAAACCTAGACTCTACAGTTGCAGTATACCTAGTCCATCCTCCCAACATCCCTCTTCAAAGCCTGTAGCTCCAGGTCCCTCAGGAACCCCTGGGTTGATGAGGTTGTTTCAAGGGACAGTTTCCAAAACAAAAAACACAAAACAAAGGATAGTCTGTTCCAGTTTGTCTTGGAGGTATGTCTGTCCTCTTTCTTAACTGTGTGATCTTGGGCAAGTCAACTAGCCACTCTGGGCCTGTTTCCACAATTGTGCAAGGAGGAGATCAGACGGTTTAGATTACTTTTAAGGGCTCTCCAATTTAGTCACACTGCTCTTCCACACCTCTGGACAAAACTATAGTTTTGCCCCCCCAGACAGCTTTAACTTCCTCACGCATACTACTTAGTAGAAAACTGCTTGCTTAGCAGTATTCCTACCTCACATCCAAAGTTCCTAGAGATTTTTTCAGCAGACACTCCCATCACATTTAATGGCTGCCTATAAGCACCCTGTTCAGCACTTAATAATATACATTGTTTCTTTCAGTTCTCACTATAATTCCATGAAGTGGCACTATAGGCTGTGTTTCCATTTTACATAAGAGGAAAAGAGTTTAAGATGGTTAAAAACACTTACTCAAAGTCACAGGCTAATAACTGGCAGAGCTGAGATTCGAAACTAGTCTATGGGGTTCCAAGGCTACCCCACGCCTCCATCCGCAGCACCTGGGAGGAATCCTGACCAGGAGGCCCTGCAGAGTAAAGAAGGGAGAGCTTAATCCCCGCACACCGCGCTCCACGCTGGGGAGGGGAAGGAAGGAGGTCAGTTCAGGTCGTCCGGACAGAAGCAGTTCCTGGGATACGGAGAGTGTGCGGGAAGAAGACAGGCACCAGGACCCGAGAGATTCGGCCCGCTCCTGAGGCGGCTGGACCGCGTGGCCTAACTTCCCGAATGGGGCTGTCCCGCGGGCGGGTATACCATCCCTATACTTACCCAAGCACTAGTGACAAAGAGGCCGCACCAGCACAGTCCGGGAACTTGGGGGTTCCCGGAGGGAGGCCCCGCCGGGCGGGGGGCTAGCAGCTGGGGGCCTGCCCGAGCAGCAAGGGCGCGGGGCGGAGCCGGTGCGCGCGGGGCGGAACTTAGGGAGGAAACTGCGCCCGCACCGATTGTGGGCTCCTCCCGGCTTCTAGGGACCCAGACCCCTGGCTCTTCCCCCTTAGTCTGGCGTCCCCACAAACCATGTCCCTCCAGCCCTGATCGGCCCCAGTAATTCTGCTTTAATGTTGTTGTTTTATTTTGTTGGTACCGGGGATTGACCCCAGGGGCACTTAAACGACTGAGCCACATCCCTAGCCCTTTTTATTTTTTTTATTTTGGACAGGGTCTCGCTAAATTGTTGAGGCTGGCTTTGAACTTGCGATCCTCCTGCCTCAGTTTCCCCAGTTGCTGGAATTACAGGCACGCGCCCGGCGCCACTAATTCTGGCAGCGTGAGGGCACTCAGACATCTAGGAGTGAAGTTCTGGATAAGTTACTTTGTCACCTTACCTCTCGGCCGCGTCCCCATCACCTGTTGAAAGAACATAAAATTAATCGAACAGGACCCAGATTTCTGTCATTCCCTGACCCCAGTTTCTCCTGTCTTCCACCCACATCCTAAATGAATTATCCCGTCTCGCCCTTCTGAAATATTAAGGCTGATTTGCCCCAGCTTCGGCGCCCCTCCTCCAAACCTTGCTCCTCTGAGCTGGTTGGGGCATTTCATTCTGGGGAAGAGCACCTTGCAGGCTCTGAGACCCTGTGAGGCTCACCCCGAAAATTCTGGGCCAGTGATGTTCCCACATTTGAACAGGAGAGGGCGCTCTGTCTTGACTAACAAAAGCATAGGGAGAGAGGATCTGCCCAAGCCTTGGGTCTTCCCACAAAGAGGGTTGATCCCAGAAATCAACTCCCAGGTTCCTTCCCCAAGCTGGTCCCTGGCTCCCTTTGCAAAGACCATTCTATTCCACAAGAACCGAGAATGAGGGAACAAAAGCAGTGCGTAGAGAATTTTGAACTAGACAAGGTTAACATCACACCTTTCCCATTTAAATCCTCAAAGCAATAATTAACACATTCTGAGCACCCACTATATCCCACTCACTTTTCTACATGTTATGTGTTATTTAATCTTCATAAAAATCCTGTGAAGTAGACACTATTAACATCTCCATTTTCCAATGGAAAACAGAAGGTACCTTACCTACTCATCTAGTAAATATCAGAACCAGGATTCCATCCTGGCACCTGAGGTCATTCCCTCAATCACTATATACTGCTGGTCCCATAAGATAATTATAATTGCCACTTTGTAGAATGGGAGACAGGCTCAAATTTATCAATTTGCCAGAACTCTTTTTCATGCATTTAGTCTTGTTCATTCATGCCAGGCCCTCTCTGTGGTAGACACTTGTAGGGGACCCACAGACATATCTTAGACTCACTTGTTGAGACTTCAAATCTGGAGGGAAGGTATCTTGTTCTAAAATAAGACTTTAAATTCTCCCCACCCTGTTCTTTTTTTAAAAAAATATTTATTTGTTAGTTGTTCACAATATCTTTATTTTGTTTATTTTTATGTGGTGCTGAGGATTGAACCCAGGGCCTCACACATGCTAGGCAAGTGCTCTACCACTGAGCCACAATCCCAGCCCTCTACCCTGTACTTAAGAGTTAGGGCCAAGAGAAAAATGATTACTAAAACTCTACTTAAAAGAACCACTTCCATCTGATTTCAACAAATAGATTTTGGTTTTCTGTCTTAGAACTTTGTGTCATCCTCCTTGCCTTCCTTCACTCTGTATATGCCTGCTTCTGGCCCATCTGCCTGAACCTTGACATTCTCTAATCTTGCCTTTAATTCTCAGGTGACCTGGGCAATGTGGGCCCTTTTAGCCCTGAGCCTTAGTTTCTCCATTGTAAAATTGTTTTAGGACTATCTACATCATACAGTTGTTGTGAGAATCAGAGCAATGTGCCAGGCATGTGGAAGGCACCCAATGCATGGTGGTTATTACAACCAGATGTGTGAGCTGCAGTTTGAACTCATCCTGGCTGAGCCTTCTCTGAATGATCTGACCTTGACTGTCACTGATTCACTCTGAATATATTTCTTCTCCTGTCAGTTTGAAAGGAAGAATGGGTTCTTCCTATGTGCCAGGGACTTTATGTCCACTCTTTCATTTGATCTTCAATAAATCTGGTGAGGTAAATTTAATGAAATACATTTTATAGCTAAAGAAGTTGAATGACCACTTAAGCTTCTACTCTTGCCCTTATTCAGTGGGCACTCAGTGTTTGCTGAACTGGCCTTTGTCCATTGTCCAAGTAGCTGCTGCTGCGCTTGAGGGTTCCTGGAGTCTCTTGCCCTCCTGGTGAGGTTTGTCTGGAGTCTGTTTTAGTCACAATCACTGTACCACTCTCCCCTCCACACATACAGACTACACACTCCTAAGGAGACTGAATGTTCACAATGATGTTCCACCTCTAGTAGCAAGGTGGAAGTGTAGATGTGGGGGGCAGATGAGAGGATCAGAATATGGAAGTAGTTGTCAAGGAAAGTTTCCTATAGGGGATCTCCTTCACTGGTCTCCTTGTCTTCATGTCTATCATCCTCCCCATTACAGCTAGACGAGCTCTTCTTACAATACAGATCTGACCATATTCCCCCCTTGTTACAAATAAATTATTTAGCAACTCTGTACAGCTTTTGCCTTTGTGTGTGTGTGTGTGTGTGTGTGTGTGTGTGTGTGTGTGTGTGTGGTGCTGGGGATTTAACCTAGGGCTTTGTGCATGCGAAGAAAGCACTATACCAACTGAGCTATATCCCCAGCCCCAACTCTGTATAGTTTTTAGGATAAGAGCAAATTCTTTAGTGTAGTATTTAACATTCTTCATGAACTGGTCATCCAATGTTTCAAGCACAGATTTTATATTCTACTTATACTTCACTCTCCCATGAAGTTTTACTCAACTTTCTTTGTATCTCCCCCCACCACCCCAACCTCAAACCCCAAACCTCATGATCTTCCCACAGCATTAGGTGCCTTTTACCAAACTTTATTAGGGCTCTGACCACAAAGTAGCAAAATAATTTGTTTTTATCCCTTTCCCCACTTTTCTGGGAACTTATTTAAAGATGGAAACCCCACCCATTTCATACATTCCTTGCATAGGTATATAGTAGGAACTCAGAAAATATTTAATTGAAGTGTTTCATTTTTCTTTCTTTTTCCTGATCTGGGGATTGAACCTATGGATGTTTTACCACTGACCCACATCTCAGCCCTTTTTTCTTTTTGAGACAGGATCTATACTAAGTTGTAGAGGCTGGCCTTGAACTTAGTTACAGATGGACACAATACCTTTATTTCATTCATTTTATTTATTCATGTGGTGTTGAGAATTAAACCTGGTGCTCCACACATGTGAGGCAAGCACTCTACCACTGAGCCACAACTCCAGTCTGGCCTTGAGCTTTTGATTCTCCTCTCTTAGCCCCCAGAGTAGCTGATATTACAGGAATGCACCACCACACCCAGTTGAAGTGCGCTTTGAAGGATGGGCAGTATTTAGATGGATCAAGCAAAGATTTAAGAACCACAGGAAGGCATTTGAAGAACAACTTCTAGGAATGGGGGACAAAGTGAGGAGCAAGGCTAAGGACAGTGAAGAGGCAGAGATGCAGACAGTGCTAAAAAGACATCCAACTTCAGGCCACAATGTGCCTCAGCCTCCTTGGAAGCCTTAAGAAAATCAGTCTCTTCCTGGGTTGAGGATTTGTTATTCTTCATTCTTCTCAGAGATCTTTTAAATGACCAAGATGTCTTCTTTGGATAGCTTTAAACTATCCATCCAAGACTTACCTATCTACTTCCAGAACCCTGATTCAGTTACTGAATTTTCATTGTTCTATAGAACTTTCTTTGTTCTCTCTTTCACTTCCAGTTTGTATTCCTGGATATGCTACATTCTTTCCTGGCCCTTTTGCTTCCTCAGTTTATGTGGCCTAGAATGTTCTTATTTTTCCCTTCTGAGAGAACTCTACCCATCCTATAAAGGGTATTGATTAGCACGAAAATATTTTCACTGTATTTTTTTTTAGTCATTTATCCCTCTGTCTTCTTGAATTCTTTTTGGATTATTCCATTTTTTCCGGGTATTATTATTTTAGTGATCTCCCTAGAAATTACCATATGCATTCTTTTTTTCTTCATTTTTGTTGTTATGGTTCTTGTTGTTTTGGTACCAGGGACTGAATTCAGGGGCACTTAACCACTTAGCTGCATCCCCAGCCATTATTTATATTTTATTTAGAGATAGGGTCTCACTAAGTTGCTTAGGGCCTTGCTAAATTGCTGAGGCTGGCTTTGAACTCCCAATCCTCCTGCCTGAGCCTCCTAAAACACTGGGATTACAGGCATACACCACCATGGCATGTTTACCACATGCATTCTTCTTTTTTTTTTTTTTTTTGTGCTGGTCATTGAACCCAGGGCCTTGTGCATGCAAGGCAAGCACTCTACCAACTGAGCTATACCCCCAGCCCATCACATGCATTCTTAATATCATTAGGGAAATGTATATCAAAACCACAATGAGCTGGGCCTGGTGGGGCACCCCTGTAATCCCAGAGGCTGGAGAGACTGAAGCAGGAGGAGCACAAGTTCAAAGCCATATTCACCAACTCAGCAAGGCCCTAAGCAACTTAACAAGATCCAGTCTACTACTACACATCCTTAGGTTGATTATAATAAGGAAAAAAAAAAAAAGGAAAATAAGTGTTGGCAAGGATGTAGAGAAACTAGACCCCTCATATATAGCTAATTGGAAATGTTAAATGGTGCAGCCAATTTGGAAAACAGTTGGTGGTTCCTAGAAAGTTAAACATAAAGTTACCATATGACTCTGCAATCCCACTCCTAGGAATATACCTTGAAGAACTGAAAAAAGGTACTTAAACAGGAAACTGTACACATCTTTATAGCAGGACTATTCACAATATCCAAAAGATGGAATTACTCCAAATGTTCACCAACAAATGAATGAATAAACAAAATATAGTATGTCCACACCATGGGATATTATTCATCCATGAAAAGGAATGAAGTACTAGTAGGTATATGTTACAACCAGATGAATTTGAAAACATGCTAAGAAGCCACACACAAAAGGTCACACATTGTATGATTCCATTTATATTAAATATTCAAATTGAATCCATTGAGACAAGGTACATATTTGATAGTTAAACATTGGAGAAAGAAGGGAACAGGGAGATACAGCTTACTGAAAAAAGGGTTTAGCTTTACAATGATGAAATGTTATACATTACATAGAGATGGTAGCTGCATAAATATTGTGAATGTATTAAATTAAATGCTACTGGAATTGTTCACTTTTTTCCTTTTTTGGCAGTGCTGGGGACTGAACCCAGGGGCTCAACAAAGCTAGGGAAGTACTCTACCATTGAGTTACATTCCCAGCCAAAAGCATATTTATTTACTTATTGGTGTGGTGCTTGGGAATGCTAATCAAGTGCTCTACCACAAGCTGCATCCCCAGCCCTTCATTTTTATTTTTTAAATTTATCTTTATTTATTTATTTATTTTGCAGTACTGAGGATCAAACCCAGGGATACTCTACCATAGAGTGACATCCCTAGTGGTCTTCCTTTACCCTTCCAGTCCTTTTTATTTTTGACAGGGTTGCCCAGTCTGACCTCAAACTTGCAATCCTCCTGCCTCAGCCCCCTGAATAGCTGGAATTCCAATGGGGAATTGGAATTCACCCTGCCCAGCTCCTTTACTTTCATAATGCATATTTTTTATGTTATTTTAACTTTACTTCAATAAATATTTTACAAAAACTAAAAAAGCGATTTTAAGAATCAACATGTAAGAATCAGAAATAAAGCATTTGGGGCTAGGGATGTGGCTCAAGCGGTAGTGAGCTCGCCTGGCATGCGTGCGGCCCGGGTTCGATCCTCAGCACGACATACAAAAACAAAGATGTTGTGTCCGCCGAAAAAACTAAAAAATAAATATTAAAAAAAAATGATCTCTCTGTCTCTCTCTCTCTCTCACTCTCTCTTAAAAAAAAAAAAATAAAGCATTTGACCCATGTGGGAAAAAATGAACCACAAATTACTAGCAGTTCCACTCCTAGGGATAGATGCAAGAGAACTGAACACATATGACTACAAAAAAAATTGTACACAATATTTAAAGCAACATTATTCATAATAGTTAAAAATAGAAACAACCCAAATGTCCAATAACTGTTGGACAGTTGTCTCTCTTTTTGGGTAGGGGGGATTGAATTCAGGGACACTTGGCCACTGAGCCACATCTCCAGTCCTATTTTGTATTTTATTTAGAGACAGGGTCTCACTGAGTTGCTTAGCGTCTTGCTTTTGATGAGGCTAGCTTTGAACTCAGGATCCTCCTGCTTCAGCCTCCTGTGCCTCTGGGATTACAGGCATGTGCCACAGTGCCTGGACATTAACTGTTTTAATGGAAGAACAAAATGTGGCACAAGCCTGTAATCCCATTGGCTCAACAGGCTGAAGCAGAAGGATCCCAAATTCAAGGCCAGACCCATCAACTTAGTGAAGCCTTAAGCAAATTAGTGAAACCCTGTCTCAAAAGGGCTGGGGATGTAGCTCAGCAATAAAGCACCACCGGGCTCAATCCCCAGTACAAAAAAAAAAAGTCAAAGGTATGTACTCAAGATTTCTAAAACTCCAATTATATGCTATTTATCAACCTCACCCTTTCTTATCAAGTTCAGGGAAAGAGAAAGGGAGTCAACATTTACTGAGTGTTTACCATGAGCCAAACATGCTCAGTTTTTTACAAATCCCATCACCTCATTTGACCTTCACAATCAACTTATAAAATATGAAGTATTGTATCCAGTTCATGGAATAGAAAACTAGGGCAAAGAACCATTAAATAGTTTGTGCAAGCTCTAAAAACTAGCAGAACTAGGATTTTAACTTAGCTCTGTTTGACTCCAGCTCTGCTGCACTGTCCAACGCACCACATAAGAAATCTGAAAAAAATAGAACAAAAAAATAAAAATGAATTTTAAAAAGGCATGAGGCCCCGAGTTTAATTACTGGCACTGCCAAAAAGAAAAAAAAAGAAAAAGAAGTCTGTTACCATCACCCTTCCAGACTGAGTTACTGGAATTCTAAGGGGACACCACCCTGCCTAGCTCCTTTACTTTTATAGTGCTTAATTTTATATATCCTAGCAACTGGGGAGGCTGAGGCAGGAAGATTGCAAGTTTGAGACCAGCCTCAGCAACTTAGGGAGACTCTAACCAATTGGAGACTCTAACCAATTTTGAGATCCTGTCTGTAACTAAAATATAAGAAAGGTCTGAAGATGTGGCTTAGTAGTTAAGTGCCTCTGGGGTCAATCATCGGATACCAGAAAAAAAAAAAAAAAGAGTAACCCTTATTGAGGGCTTATCATGCACCAGGTATCATGCTAAGGGCTTTACCCATATTATCTTGCTTAATTCTCACAATAACCCTGTGATGCAAGCAAAATTGTTATTCCCATTTACAGAAAAGAAATCAGGATCAGGGGGTTAGGAAATTTTCCCAAGTTCATACAACTAATACATGGCTTGACCCAGATTAAAACCCAAGGTTCTGAGACTCCAAACTTCACCAGTCTTTATTAGTTTCCCCTACTAAGGAAACCAATTCACGCATTCATTCACCAAAAAATCCATAGTGCACCTTCTGTGTGCATGGCCTTAGGCACCAGACAAAAACTAGAGTTGAAGCTTAAACAGAGTTGGGTTTGAGGATTAAAGGACAAGAAATCAGTTTCAGGACAGCAGAGAGGAAGCTACTGTGACTATCCAGTAAGTGCTAATGACTTTTTTTTTTTTAACATTTGTTTTTAGTTACAGGTGGACACAATACATTTATTTTATTTTATTTATTTATATATGGTGCTGAGGATCAAACCCAGGGCTTCACACATTCTAGTTGTGAGCACTCTACTGCTGAGCCATAAGCCCAGCACTAATGACTTTTCTAATGTAGAGCAAAAGCAAATAAAGATGAAAGGAAAGCAGGGGTGTTTGGACAAAGGAGTTGGGAGGTGGCTGCAAATAGAAGTTTAAACTAGCCTTACTATTTGGCCATCCACACATTAACTTTTTTCTTCCTTCAAACATCTACCGAACATTTACAAAGTATCCTGTTTCTTCTTATTCCATCTTTACAACCACTTCACTTTTCAACAAATAATTTCTAATTCCTTGCTACTACTGAAAACTCCCAGGA